TCTGTTCCCAGCCTTCGCGTATACAGCAGAAAGGAAGAGAAGAAAAAACCCAATGGAGCGTTGGCCCTTTTCTTCACCACGCTTTCCTGTCCATAAGCGAGTTATACCGGTAACGAGAGTCAGCACTTATCTTGTGATGATGAACTGGACCATATGGAAAGGAATGGCGAGGACTGGAGCGGGTCGTACTGGACTGCATAGAACTGGACGCTGAGTTTTGGACTAAATGCACAACGAACTGGACTCTACTGAAATAAAGTGAGGGGGACTGAGGTTAAGTGATCTGGACTAGCTGGACTGGAATGGACTAAGCGGTGTTTGGACTGGAGTGTGTCGTACAAGTCTAAATGAGAAAGATATTGTGGATATTTAGACGAAATAAATAATACGTGAAAACATCGTGGCCCATTGTGAAGGGGAAAACATTGCAAAATAATCATATTCTGAGTTCGCAACCACTGCACATGTAAGAAGAACTGAATAGGGATTTTCTGTCAGACACATTTTACTAAAACGTTGCAAAACTTGGTTGGACAACATGCGATAAATTTAATTCATTTTTCCGGAGTAACCTTCGGCAGTAGTAAGATTGAAAAAACTGTTCCCTTCACATCTTTACATCAGTGTTTTTATTGTCAATACTGTTCTCTATACATTTCTTAATTATAAGGAGAACGTGTTTAACTATCATGAGCTTCGTTTGTTGGTGATTATTCATTTCTTCTTATGTGTGTGACTAAGGGGTTTGATTAAGGGGTGTGATTAAGGGGTGTGACTAAGGGGTGTGACTAAGGGGTGTGACTAAGGGCTGATAAGGTAACTAGAAATTAAATGTCAGTAATCTCTAGGTTTTTAAGATTACAAAAAAAAATTACTTACGTTTGAGAACGAAGCCCCCTTCATATTGCCGAATATCAGTTTCATCTGGAGTCATGGTGAGTAAACATCAAGGCGTACTTGAATTTTCCCTTGCGAAATTTGGAGAATCCTATAGTAAAATTAAATTTAAACATTTGCAGATTATCGAAAATTAGGCAAATTAAATCTTATGCAAATAGGAGATAACAGCCAATCATGTAAACAAGATTTGAATTTATAAAAAACAACTGAGATAAGAAAAGGGCTTTTTGTCTTAACGCCCGAAAATCAAAACTTGCTTTGAAAAAGGGGCTTATCTTATTTTTATTTAGATGTTTCGATTATAAAGAAAAAAAACAGAAGCGTGAACTTAATTTTTCTTCTTTCATAACGAGCAGTTAACTCTTGAAGTCTAAGAAGTGATTAAAATGTAACTTCTCCCTATATTATATATACATTATCCAGCAAACAGGAAGTGAGAATATTCAAATTTATCTCCTAAATGTTATCTTGATCTGATATCAAATTCTTGTAACTAATTGGCAGGACATGTTTGGAAGCCAAAGGGGAGAATTGACGATCTGATCTTGGAATTTAAGGGTTGAGACGATGGAAATTCTCGGAATCTGCTTAGGAAGTCTATTGAAATATTTCCTTAATTTCACTCGTCATCTCCATATTACGCAAAATGTTCAAAACTAATGCCTCTATGAACAAGCTTTAGATATACTCACTATCAAAATTAATATGCATTACTCAAAACTCTGAGTATCGCTTCAAACTTGTACGAACGAACCACGCTTTCTCTAAATTGTTAACGCGGAATTTCAGCAAAAAAGATGAAAGATTAGGGTGAAGTTTCCGCACAGCTCCATACTACTGTAAAACAAATCTGTTTTCCCAGTGAAAATGTAGTGTTTTTGTCATTGTTTTCTCTATCCAAGAACTGAATCCATAATGTAGTAAGGGGCTGCACGGAAATTTTACCAAGATTAAAAATGGTACTCCGCGCGTCAACAGTTTCAAAGAAGAATTTCAAGCAATCCGATTTTGCAAAAAAAAATTACGCAATATAATCTCTACTGCTAAGTTATTGACAGCTTCTGGGCGGAAATACGAGCGACTGGAAAGAATTAAAAGATTTAATAAAACGAAGCTTCGACCTGGAGCTGTTCTTGAATTTGTAAATGGTTCAGCTTCTTTTAGGATTAGTTTACACAGTTTTACTTGTTTCTATAAGCGTCGATAAACACTTACCTGCTTCCGTCCGTTGCCAGAAAAGATACGCGATGTTTAGTTTGACAAAACGAGAAACGAAAGAGGGCTTCCAAGGGAGAAAACACTGTGAAAGGGCTAAAATTGTGACAAGAATTGACCACTGAAATAGAATTTATCGAAGCTTGTAATAATTTCAAAAGTGTACCTTTTAAAACCTATGTGTGCACGTGGGTTCTTGAGCTCTTCCCTGAAGGGCTCAACTGACTGCACGGGTTTTTAGCGCGCACGATTTTTCCAACTGCACGGGTTTTTAGCGTGCTCGATTTTTCTAATTAGCACCATTCATTAGAGGTACCTTTTGTTATGGTAAACGCAAACGTCAAATCAACATCTGGGTTCTCTCATTTATAGAGAGAGATATACAGGCCATCGTTGTTATTTTTCACGCGCGCACGATTATTCTAATTAGCACCATTCATTAGAAGCACTTTCTGTTATGATACACTCAAACGTTAAAATTAACATTTGGGTTCTCATATTTTTCTTGCAAGACAAAATACAGTAGAGCCCTCGCAATAAGTACCAAATTTTTTCATAAATGCAGAAACTGAAAGAGAAGCAACAAAACTTCAAATTTTGTCGTAGTAGTTCGCGTTAAAATGTTCGCAAATGCCTCTATCCAAATAGCAAATTATGATATGATATATATTATTTTTCACGGACTCTAAATGTTTTTTTTTTCTGTCAAGTCACGGCTAAAATGAAAAGAAAACAATCGACAAAACTTGCAAGATTAATTAACCCTTGTGTTATCCTCTAGGCCTCTGTTGTTCAGAGGTTAGATGGTGCTATTCACTGGATAAATCGCTATCCAGTGGCTGGGTGTTTACCAAACATACCATCGCTTTATTTGCACAAAACCTTTGCACTTTCTACTTGCGCAAAGTTCACATATGTGTGTTTTTTTTTAGCCCCTAAAATTCTCTCAATAAGCCGTGAATTAGTGTTTCAGGGTAATTTTCTCTTATCAACCGAGTTGAAAACGTAAATTGGCCACCGTTAAGAGTTTTACAGCTGACGTTTCGAGAATTTGCCCTTCGTCAGCCTTTAAACTCTTTACGTCGGCCAATTTACGTTTCCAACCCAGTTGATAGCACTAAATTACCCTGTTATACTCTCCCACTGACACAGCACCACAGTTTCTTCAGAAACTTAGCCCCTTTATTAGTTGGTGCTTCAGATTACTTATTACACGCAGTCGTATGTGCATCTATTTCGCATGGAGCTCAGGCGTGATCTCTTGAGAAAACACAACCAGAATATGAGCGCCAAGCTTTTTGTCAATGGTGGAAGTTAGTGCTGTTGGTGAAGTTTACGTAGAAGTTGTAACAACAAGGCAGTGGTGCATTCAACAAGAGGCAGATGTGATTGAAGACTTCTGGTACTCTTTTCCCAGCGAGTTTGCTAAAGCTTTTTGCTCCCACTAACGTCCCAACACTTTGATACGACTTCAGACTCCTTTAATGTTGTGGAGTTTTCATGCCGTCTTACGTGAGTATCAATCGTCGGTCGTATTAACACAGTACCGTTGGGGAACCATCAAGTAATTACTACATGCCCTGGCTAGTTGTGTTCCGCTTCCAATGAACAATATCTACAAGCTCGATTAGCATGTTTCAGTTTGTTTTGTTGCTAAAAGAACTCTATCATACAGGTTAGTAGAAACTTATAGAAAGATTATTATACGTTAATACAAGCGCAAGACAAATTGACAAGATGGGAGCCCCCTCGCATAAATTTAATCCTGATGTCTACGAAATGACCCACCTAAGACTTGGTCAGCGATTTAAAGATTTTCGATGCACTGGTACACTAATTCAATGCACTACTCTACGGTATCTGGAAGCTCAACCGTGGAAGATTTTCCCTTCGTAAACGTTTGATACATGTTTCTTGCTCGTCAGAAAGAGAACCAAAGAATTTTGATCTGAGAAGGGGTAATTCAAATTTGAAACAGTCCCAAGAAAAACATAGCCTAAGAAATGCAACAAAACCACTAGATGAAATGACAATCCTTGTACAATGTAGATTTTCTTTGTGGACTACAGTAGTTCTTACAGCAATTCCTAATTGATCACAACTACTACCCATTGTTGATGTCTTCTGTCAAGCCAAGCTATAGACAATTTCTCTATGTACAAGTACTGTTATTTGTTATTGAACAAGCTGTAAACTTGTCTTCTTGCTAGACCCCCCAAAATATGTGACCCTCGTCCATAAGTTTCAGTCACGAACCAAATAATCTGGAAAATTAAATGAAAAAAACATCTTTAATAAACCTTGACTTTAAATGAGACGAAGAAAACTTTAACTAGAAAAGCCTCAAAGCAATCAAAAGCAAGATAAGTAATGACTTAGGCCAACAAATATAGATGTAAAACTTTTCATTAAGAGTGAAGTGGAGTGGTATTAGGAATAGTGGCATTAGCTAATAGGTGAACAAGATGTTTATGCTTTAAAAAAATGCTTTCTCAGGACATTAACACTTAAAAAAATGCTGTATCCATATAGTGTAAATGTGTTAGAAATTCAGACACAACAATTCTTGTGTGGAAAGGTAAGAAACAGCTAAACAATCATGTTGAGGAGTAAATCACATGCAGAGGTTAATGTAAAATTTTCAGCTGTTCTGATCATTTGCCATGGGTGATGATTGCTACATAGCCCTTTTGTTACAGAACAACTGTTCAATAACTGCATGCATTGTACAACTGATGTACTTTTTTGAGTTAAACATAGATACATAATTCATAACTTGACTGATACTTACATGACCATACACAGCATCATTACAATATTCCATAAACCAATAAAAATTCTGAAGTATCGAAGATTGATGATAAAGTCCTTCAATTTTTCACCTGCAATCAGAATACAATAAACAAGATCATTGACTGAAAGGTTATTGAGATAATGTAATGTGCTGGCAGCTTCCTCCAGGGTTAACTCTGTGGTCAACCATTTGTTTGCAATAATTGGAGGCAGTTTTGCTGACCCAGGCAGCACTATCTCACATGAATCTCAGTGTACTGATGGAAAATAATTGCTCTACCAGTAGTAGCTTTCATCAATATATTAAATATTACTGCCATATATATCTAAACACCCTATACTTTAACCTTTCATATGGATTAGAAGGACAAGGCAGTTGGCCTCTTTAAAATCCTTACTGACATTTTTCACATCATTGTACTTAAACACTGGAACTACCAGAAAAATATGGTAAGCATATCTTGAAATCAAAGATAAAATGCTTCTTAATCTGAATTACCAAGTGAAGGTTCTTCATTCTCTTCTCCAAATGAATCTGTGGGGTTCCTTTTTTTACTGTGTGAGTAAAAAATACCAGTTGATTAAAGCTGGGAATTATGTGGGTTTTGATTATTTCCTGCATCATGCACATTATGAAGTACATGGGATCATGTCTATAGTGAAATAAATAAAATATACCTTTAAAGACCAAAAATTATTTTTAGAACTGCTTGGCAATATCTAGCAAACAATAATTACTCTTATAAAGTTTGCTCTCATAGAGGTTTTCTGAGGGAGCTGGGTCAATATTCTTGAGGTATAATTTTGCAAGAGTTGAGAACACAGTGGTTTCATGGTAGGCTTAACTTTGAATATTTCATTAACTACATAGTACTTGGAATCATGTGATATTTCTAAACAAACATCAGAAACACTTGGGAAGTCTGAAAGAACCTTTCAGATAAATTTCTGAAAGTTTCTTTCACCCTGCAGTTCTAAATGAACATCAAATACACTTGGGAAGTTTGAAAGACCCTTTTAGTAATATTCCTGCAAAAATTGCCACCCTGCAGTTCTAACTAGACATCAGATACACTTGGGAAGTTTGAAACAACATTAGGGTAGAATTTCTGCAGTAATTTCCACCCTGCCATGCATTTACCCACAGCATAATTTTACATGTGAACTTGTGTCTATCTGTCCTTTTCCTTATTTCTGACCCAGCATTAATGCAGTTCGATGAATGTTTGTGTTCCTGGTGGCTTAGATATCCTACCATCTGCCTTTTTTGAGACTTCTGACCAATTTTTCACCTTCATCTTTGGTAGGGAATGCAAACTTAGACATAAATGTTTATTTGTATTTATTACATGAGCCATAAAAATAACCAGACATTTTGCTTCCCTTTTCCTTTGTAGAGATTCATAGAAGAGGCATTTTTGGAGCAAGTACACATAACAGGGCTACCAAGGTCCAACTTGTCAGCATACTTTGAAGAGTGAGGCAGAACAGAAACGGATGTATCGTGAATCAATGAGATGTAAATAAGTGGCCCTTTATTCTGTGATTTCACGGCATTTTCAACAGACAATTTTATTATCTGGTTTTACATTGAAGAAATGTAAAATGGTTTCCATGTTTACATGGCCTGATGTAAGCACGTGGGAGGTTGGGGGAATAAGCGTAGGAAACCACGACACAAAGAGGAGTGTTTTCCAGCTTATTGAGTGTTCTCCCAACCTCCCAAATGTTTACATCAGGCTATGTAAACACGGAAACCATTTTACATTTCTTTTATAAAATAACTAATGAAAGAGGAACGAAAACCGTGTTTACATACGCTCATGTAAAATGGTTTTATGGCCAATCAGAGCGCGCGTACTATTTCAATTATTTTATAATTAATTATTATTGATTGCACTCACAGTTTAAAGTTCAGAACTGCACAGGCATTAATCAGCAAGGTGCTGCAAAGTTAAAACAAAGGGAATGATAATTAGAACATGATTGTTCAACTTGGTAAACTGTCTGACAATTTTATTTAAATCAATAAATATAACTCTTAATTATCCAAAGTCGTATTCACAAATTAAACATTCGTGGAAGTCCTCAAGGTGTTAGTGCTCAAATCTTTAGTTGTAATAAACATTTTGAGAAGTTTTTCCCACCAAAATCAGGAATAAATAATCCACATCTGTAGCGATGAACCGTACATTCATCCGCATTGATCTTCAGTAACCTTGGACGCAACTTCTCATTACGTGTCATCTCACTTTTGGTTTTCCTTTGACACCAGTTAACCCAACAAATATCATCATGAGCTCCCGTGTAATTCTAAAAAAATCTTTTCCATGTGATGAGGAAGATCTACATACCCAGCAACAAGAATATCTGAAAGAAAAGCCATAATAACTCGGTAACAGGGATATTTTCAAGCAGCTCAAGTGTTGTTTTGTTGATGTTTGGCCAGGTTACACAAAATGCCTGGCTACCAAGTTGAGTAGTCCTCAATCTTCTACCGGTCGTTTTCGGTAGATGGGCAGATGGTGCGGTTACTGCTGACCTATTACTAAAATTTACAGTCACATTTGCTTTGCCTCTACAAATGCCTGTATTTGGCGTAAATTTTATAGTTTTTAGATTTAATTGTGAGACAAAACTTGAGATAACAAAGCAGTGACGACGCGAAACTTTCCTGCAAAGTTTGTGAACTAAGATCTAACACTTCAGCTGAAGTTAAGTTTAGTTTCATGAAATAATGAATGGTCCAGCCTTCCAAAGCTGGTTCGGTGTCGTGACCTTGGCTAAGAGTTTTACTAACTTTGAGAAAAACGGTTATTATTTTGGTAATCGAAAGATATGTCGGTCTTAGGAGTGGCTTCAAGATGAACCCCGACATTTTTAATACAGGCATGCGCTCTAACGGAACATTAATAAACAATCGAGGTTTTGCAAAAAGTTAGTTGGAGACCCACTTGACGTTTATGGAACGTTGCTCTTTCCACCTCGGCCAACGGTTTACACTGGCTATTGGATACGCCAAAGGGTGATTACTTAGGCTGGGTCATAGCAGTTAGCTGAAGAATGGATGCGCATCCGATAAATATATCAGCAATTATGTAAAGTTGATAAATATGCACATTGAACGGCTTGCCACGATGATTCCACAGATACATAATACATATCCAAATGGGCACAGAAACTAACCCAATCAGAAGGTCAGCCAGCGCCAGCGCCAGCCTAAAGTAGGTTAAAATGAAACGCCTTGTAGCCGTGTACTTTTTATTTTATTTTATTTCTCGTTCAATGTTTTTTTTTCTTTAGCTTTTGGAGTTGATAACAATAATTACTTTAATGTAATATGTTATTCAGTACCGATCAATTTACTTGTCTGTACAATGTAGCTGTAATTGTGAAACCCCACCAAAAAGTTTTCTAATTTATGTTATTATTTGTTCGCACCTGTAGTATTATGGTATTATAGGTAGTGTTTATATTGTATTTTATGTAGCTGTAGCTTGTAAGTAATGTCCACTTCGTAGTGTGCATAATTTAAATGTATTACAAAATAAAATTTAAAAAAATAATAATAAAAGTTGCCGTGCATAATATTATATTACATAGATCTTCAGTCAAAGTTTGTTGCTCCCTTCAGCCGATACATTCTCTTTTTCTTTTTGTTCAAACAGGGAGCCGAGTCTCCTAATGTTAGCATAGGATGACACAAATTCAGATGGAGTCCTGGGGAGACACTGTTGGCAGCTTTCTATGCTCGTCTTACGACTCTGATCTGAAGTGATACTCAAGCTTCTTAAAGGCAGAGTGGACAAGCTGCTGTGGCGTCTTCTAAACACTTCATTCAAACCAGGTCCTTTTCTTATAACCAGACGCCGCAGAATCACAGCAATGGTCCTGCGCAGGTCGGTGTTTCGGTGAGAATACAAGAATGGATTAATGGCACTTGAACTGTAATGCATCCATTTAACAAAGTGCAGCAAGCGAGAAAAAATGATCGGCTTCGGGAGAGCTTTAGGATCAAACGTGGCCAGCATTGTCAAGGTGAAAAGTGGAAGCCATGCTATGATGAACAACAACGTTATGAGAGCGATGGTCCCACACAGTTTCATCTACAGCAAGAAAATGGATAAACTTTGGTTAAGTTTTCCATCAGTGTACGTTAAAAGTTGCATTTATTTTTCGTCACTTTTACACTATGTACCCAGTCCTTTTCTCTCTCTCCACCCTTCTCCAACTCCCCCCCCCCCCCCCCCCGCCCTTCTCCATTTCTGCCCTTTCTCATCTTTTCTCAGAAGAAAGCGTTTATACAAACCTTACCTCCTTATCTAAAGAAGACGTTAGTGTCTGATTTTGGCTCTGTAATTTTTTCCTTTTCATAGCAACCACAAAAATGCTGCCGTAAGCAGTGATAATGATCAACACTGGAATGAAGAAACAAGCACTTGCTGTAAGAATGGTGTATGGCACCTGCCAGTCCGTTCCATACTGCAAAGGCTGTAGTGAAGACAGAACAGCAGAGAAAACCCAAATTGAGGCTACTGCAATGTACAAGGTTTTCTGTTGAAGACGGCGATGCAGAAATGGTCTCAGAATGGCGTGGGATCTTTCTATGCCAATAGCAGTTAGCTGAAGAATGGATGCGCCTCCGATAAATATATCAGCAATTATGTAAAGTTGATAAATTTGCACATTGAACGGCTTGCCACGATGATTCCACAGAGTAATACACATCCAAATGGGCACAGAAACTAACCCAATCAGAAGGTCAGCCAGCGCCAGTCCTATTATCAGGGTGTGTGTGAGAGCTCTGCGTAGCCATTTGTTTAACACGTAGGCTGAAACAACAAGGCTGTTACCACAAAGGATAGTTATCACAAGAATGCCATAACACGCCAACGAGAGGTATACCTCGGGTGAAGAGCGTCTCGGTTGTATATCTGCGAATGACGGATTGACCGGCTGCAACGTGGTCACGTTGCTGTCGAGTCTTGGGGAGTATGTGCTGGGAAATAACATCAAAATATTGTAACAATTACAGCCTCGTCGGGCTGCACAATATACGCCTGTCTACAGTCTCGTAGCTTCGCGCGCTGTTTCTCCTTCAGTTATTTTATCATCAAGTTTGAAACATTTCTGTGGACAAAATAAATAAAAAATAAATGTGATGCTGATTTCCGATTGGTTATCGTAACTGGGCTGCTTGACCGTGATCAGTTACATAACGTAATGTTGCTTCTCCTGCTATTAAGTATTAATTCTGAAACGAATTTTAGGAAAATTAATTTTTCTCTATTTTTATATCCTATCGTTTCCTGTGCCAACATTACACTAGGTGGTGATTTTTCCGTTAGGGACGGAGCGGAGGAGGAGGAGAAACGCCCCCATTCCCCCCCCTCCCACCACCATCGATGGGACATTGAACCTTCTGCTGCAATTTGATATGCTCTTCATGGGAATCATTCACTGCAGCAGATTACTAGAATGCTTCTTGTTTCTATGCAAGAACGGATGGGATTTTTACCCAGTTCCTCTAATCATTCCTGATAGGCTCAACAAAATTGATTAATTCCATGTAATAATTAAATTTTTTATGGAGATTAAATCGTTCAACCATAGCATTGTGCTTTCCCTTTTAAATTAGATTTTGTTCAGTATTATCAAACATCATTACTAAAACCCCAAGTTTGAAATGGCAAGGAGTTAAACTTCTGTAACGACAGATTTTTAACTAAATGTCGACAACTATTCCATTCACTGGTACGAAGCACAGCTTGCGTCCACGATCAATATCGGTCACAGCCATTTTTATTTACATCGCCAGGACAGACGGTATCCTTAGAAGTAAAAGTCTGTTAAACTCGATTATTTTATGTACCGTTGCCTCATAAAAAGTAACTGGTGTAGAATCAATCATTTCTTGTGATTCAAGAAAAAGGAAACGAGCTCAATTATCAACATTTTGAAAATGAAGTCAAACTTGCGATTAATATTTTCTTATCCACATCATTTTTAGTTTCAAAAATTCAATTTGGAATACGCATCCGAACGCAGTTTAATGTCACACAAGTATAACTGATCCATCTGTGTTATGAACCATACAATACCAGAAAGCAACATGACTTATAAAGAGTACCAACATTTACGATGGGTGCGAACAATCATGTCTAAGTAGTTTTTCTTTCAACCATCTGTAAACACCTTACTTAGCTTTGTGATTGAACAATAAATTCACATTTAGGTCTTCCATGGTTTTTTACCTTCAGCCAGAAACACAAAATATACAGTCGTAGGTGGGAGGTACAAACCTTTGTAATGTATTCGAAAAAGTACGAAAAAATCAATTTCACGAAACAGAAATGTTTACCTTTTCGAGACGACGAAGATTTCTTACGGGAAGGTTTTGGCCTTTATGCCCACTCTCCATATGTTTATCTCGTTGCTATCGTGCAAATAACATCCGTCCGGAGGTGCATGACAAGCTTTTCCAGTGCGAAGCAATCACTTGATTGCGTCTTTTCATGCATCCCTTTGTCTTGATAAATGTATTCATATTTAAGCTCAAAACACTTCCACCCATCACTGCATTTATCTTCAAAAAATTACCGGTTAGCGCACGTTCTCACATCCCGACGGTAATTGCTATTTGGATCTTCGATTTTTTTTTTCATCTATCTCTATCTTTACTCACCAATGTTTTGATTTGACCGGCCGAATACCTCCTCTTTCAACGCAATTGAAAGTGTAGACGCATTACAGAGACTGAAAGGTTTTCAGTGATACAAAAATAATCCTCTACACATCTGGATTAAGTGAGCAATTAAGGTTAAAGTCTTAAGTCTTGATAAAATGTTTGGAATCTCTTGATTAACATTAAACCCTAACCATATCAAGTGAAGGCAGTACAAATAAACATGCGAATCTGTTAATAAATGTTTTTCTTATTTTCATCACATATTGACCTATTCTCTTTATTGAGATGTCGGCATGTGTACAAAATAGGATGGCTGAACTTCAGGTGAGCATATGAAAGAATTAGTTAATTACAACAATTAAAAGGATTTTGCAGCTGCTCATTTTTAAGCTCTACAGCTCAATTGTAGCCAGGTATCGAATTACTAACCAGACCTGCAAGAAACTTCCAGGAAGCTCAAACTGCGCACGAAGTATAACGATTGAAGTTATATAATGCTTGATTTCAGCCTTTGCTCCTCTTTGGCGTGAAAGGTGAGGAAAACATGATCTTCACATCGCCAGCGACACTTAGTATTAATCTATTCTTACCAAAGAATTTTGGAACCCCTTGCGGTAAATATTTTTGTTCTGTCAGCTACAAGTCAGCAAGTGAACTCTCTTTGAATTCTAGTAAATTATATTGCATTACACACGATATGGAAAGATTCATGTTTATTGAATTTAAAAACAACGTTGGATAGTTCGATAAACGTAAAATTATTTACAAATTGCAAACATTAGGTATCAAACTTATAATGATTTTCCTCATAAAGTGATGGCAGAATATTCACTTATTGCTGATATTTCATTCAGATGCCAAGCTAAGTTCTTCAATGTCACTTTTCTCCATGCGAAATAGCCTCCAATCCAGCATGCTTTTCGCTCCCAGTTTTCTGTAAAATCCCATAGTTCTTTCCGAGGAAGGTGAAACCCATTGCATTCTTTGACAGTCACACGACTTGGCAATCTGGTAGAAATAAAACCCTATTATAGTGGTGTTTTTTAGAGCTAGTTTTCTTGCTTACCAATAAAAGAAGAAAACGCGAAAATAACATGGCATGCTCGGAAGCGCCGCTTTTGGTGTGTATTCCATCAAAACATTGTTGTTTGTTTGTTTGTTGTCATTGGAATTAAGTTACCTTCGCTATCGCTGCCATTAGTGAACTTCCTATCCCTTGACCTAATATACAAAACAGAAACATTGATTTCGGTGATTAGTAAGTAAATAATCAACTCAGTTTCAAGTCTAACATTGTTTCCAACCAAATTAGATAAAAGAGATTAAATTACTATGAGATGAGATTGCTATCTTGTTACTATATTATCATGATTATTTTTGTGCTTTTTACACGGAGTAATCGTTAGCATCATCTTAAAGCTGCTTTTTCAGGCAGAAGTCACACGGTGAGCTCCATCAGCGAGACATCGACTTACCTCGAGCATTGGGAGTGACAAAAAGATCTTCCACGTATAAAACAGGACCCTCCCATGTAGAGTAAGTGAAGTAGTAAATGGCAACTCCTAAAGCCTCTTTGTTCTTTTTTGGCGCCTCCAGGTTTTGTGTTGGAGTATGATCATTTAACTCTGATAGCAAATCAAACGTTACTGCTATTAGTTCATTTAGTCATAATGTTAATCATCTGAGTTCCCTTCTCTACCTTCCCCTTAGAGGATTTGAACTTTGGACTTTCGGATTTTGTGGGTCACCGCTCTATGTGCTGCCATTGAAACACGGTGATCTTTGTTCCACCTTTTTGACAAAACCAGTAACATTCTCGTTTGCTGGACGACCATGCCCAAAATGTATTCTATTTTTGTGAGCCATTAACTTTCGTAAAGTTCCACATCAACCTCGCTGTACAAACGTCAACAAATACTAGTCAAGGAAATAGTTTCTCAGTATTCCCTTGTTCGGGTAACAGATAAGAAGAAAGAAAAATGACCCAATACTGTACCTTCGATATTTTCTACTCTCTCTTCAGCAATAACACAGTGAAACAAAGGGTGTTTGCCAAATCCGTCACGAAGAAGCTCTATAGTAAAACACATGTTTAGTAACAAGTAAACTCAATTAATCTGAAAAGTATATGCAGCTGTAACTGCACTCGAAAATTGTGAATACCAGAAGCGAAAGAGATTGACGACCTCTATCCTAAACTTGATTTTATTAAGTGCAGTTAAATTTGGTCAATCGCACTTCTAATTTTATTCAATGAAACATGGTAAAGCTATCTATCACATGATACACTAGAGCCATGCCTCCTTGACAGTGCAGAGAATTATATAGTGTGTTTACGTCCATCTTCTTTTCGGTGTTTTATAAATGCATCTTATACCCTTTTCTCCGATCTTCAGCTCGTCTCTCTTGCCCAAGTAATCCGCAAGATCCTGTATTAGAACAAGGTTAATTAGACTAGTTTCCCGAATGTTTATAATCGTAGTCTTTTGTATTTGCCGAATCATGCAACGAGCATTTTTTCTTTTTCTTTTTTTCAAAATCCATCGGCTCTGAGGTAAATATTAGTCTCGGCCGATGGTAATATTAACCTAAGTCCGATTTTTGCGACACAAATTTTTACTGTTTCTGGGAGTTACTCGATCCGTCACTTTATGGTGATTTTTCTGACATTTCCATGATTTAAACTTCAATCATTTATTTTAGAACTGCAGATAAATTGGTGAGGTTGTATTCACTATAATTATAATTAAACGTCGATTCATTTTTAAAACACGTAAGATTGGATCACTGGCAAGGTAACCTATATTTTGTAACGAAAATAAAAAAGCGTTGATATTTTTAGGTGCATCTCTACGTAAAGAAAAATCCTGAACAACTGTATAACACAATTGTTCAGAAGGAGCTCGACCACCCGCTAACTCGAGTTGACGAATTTTTGTACTTTTAAATTTTCATCGTCAAACGTTTGTGAAATAAAGTTCACCCGGTCGCCACACATTTCGTTGATTACTCGAAAACCCAATTAAAGAGAATATCTTAAACGAGCAGCAGGAACCCCTGACCTTGTCCCTGCTCATTGATATGATGAAACTGTGTTCATTGTACCTGAATCATCTTTGCAATGGAAGGTACGTCCTGTCTATTTGCTTCTCGAACTCCGTAATGTGACTTGAAGATTATAAAATGAGAATTTAACAACGGATTGTTGAGAGGTTGGCAGGCTTTGTTCTCCATCAGTTATTTTGTTCTTTTACTCAAGCTACGTGCAGCGAATGTTACAGTAAGAGCTCTACAAGGTTCGTGGTGATATTCTGAAAAAGAAGAAGTGAGTTTTTTTGTATGGTGCAAACATATGTGACGAAGATTGCTCGTCAATTTCCGTTGTATTGTGTTGATTTTGCTCGGCTCTATTCGTGTCAGGCCGAAGACTTCTGTGCGCATTTTCGAATCAGTTCGGAGAAAATTCTCCGATGAGTCGATACCGCCGACCAGAAGACTTCCTGCCTCACTAGTTCATAAAGTATGAAAAGGCACCTTTCGTCAGATAAAAAAAAAATGTTGGAGTTCATGTTTATAACTATGAACGCCCAGGAGGAAGTCGCGGATATTTCTGGGTCAACTGTTATATTTCTAACTCGTGTACATGTATTTGCCGTCGTTTTGCCAAAATCTTAGACGACAGGACCTCTCTGTCAATAAAGCTAACTTACTATAAACAGGATGAGGTTTAAATCCTCATATTGGACTCAGGACAAATATTGAACATCTTTGTTTACTAACAGATTAAATTCATAAAATTAGACCAACACAGAATGATATGAGTTCATTAGATTTTTTGTTATTTTATGAAATCACTGATGACAATATTTAGACAAGTAACGGAATTACACTCAGAAAAATATTTGCTCTTCCCGCTCACCTTTAATGACGTCATTAAGTCACATGACCGATTTCTTGACGCGTTATAACAGAGCTCTATTGTGGCCAGTGCACTTATCACACCCTAGCTACCATACAAGGCACCAGAATGTCCCTTGCGACACTCCTCTCCATGATCTGTGTGATTGTTTTTCTTCCACAACAAGCCAACGGTACGTTTCTTTTCCCACAAAACGGACTTTTTTATTAACGGGTAGACCCATGTTAGGGTATTCGGCTATAAGCCTGTAGCTTAACAAACTTTCTACGAAATTCATATAAAAAACACGTTTACTCTGCCGCACATTCAAGCGGACTTAGACCCGAATTTTTTCAGGTCATTTTGTGTGACGAAGTTAATGTCTTGTGGCATCCAATTTACGGAGGCATAGGGAACAAAAGTTAGATTGAATTGCGCGTCTGGAACATGAAAAAGCTGCGACATTTCATAAGAGTAGAAGGCTACATGTGGTTTAATTAGGTGATCTTATCAAATCATGAAAACCTTACACTGTTATTTACGGAGAAACACTAAAAAGCGAAAAAATTATATTTTTTTGATATAGTTAACTCTGAATGTAACGAAATCAAAATTGAGAACATCAAAGGTCCGAAGATGAAAAAGATGGTGAGATGACGAAATCCATTCAATTAAGCGCAGTTTAAATCGCAGTTTTTCTTTAAACTAAAAGACAATATGAAAAAATGTACCATCTTAGGCCCTTTTCATTTTAGCATAGATTTTTTTTCCTTTATTAGTACGAACACGAAACCTGAGATCCGAATTTATTGCGATAAAAATCCACTGGTCGTAAATTATGTGTGTACAGACGCAGTCAACATCTCACATTGAAAGACAATCTTGAGAGGTGTAGAATTTATTTCCTTTTGTAAGTGCCTACTCTGTAGAAACTTTATGAACTTTAGAAGTGCCTCATTCAACTTAAGTTTTTCTTTCCGGCCGTTAGCTGACTCTGTGTTTAACAAACGCAGAACTGTGTGGTTTCATACGAATTCACCGTAGTGCGGCCCCTCGCCTTAAACTTTCTAACTTAAAGTGAAAGAGTGACTTTTTTCCATCGTGTTTGAGCAGATGTACGGCGATGTATAAACAGCTAAAGTAATGAAAAAGAGGCAATGCATGTCGCCAGTTATGGTGGGAAATATTGCTTTCACTGTTTACCAAAATCTTTACCCACTCTTTATTGATAAAATTAAACGTTTCCCATAAGAGAAATTGATTATACTGGATACTGAACGGAGTTTGGTTCTCTGAGTTCGTGTGATGAAAAAATTCACTTTACTGTTTGATTCCGTCGATTATTAGACATGACAGCACCGTCATAGAGTTTACAAAGATGCCACTAGTAAGACTGATTTCCGCCAGAAGCCCATTACTTCTGTTTTCACCAAGTGCACGACCTCTGAAAAAACTTTCCCGGTAGTGCCTACATTCTCAATTCCACTTGCGTGTCCTGATGTGCAATGATATTTCGTGTGTGGCTCAGGATTGTTAAGTGTGTTGTTTGTAGCATGAAGGGACTGTCTCTCCCCCACACAGGACTGTAATCCTTTCCCATGTCTCCTCTCAAAATTAGACCATGTGACTTACTGTCAAACTAAGAGCAAAACTTCCGTTCGGTGCATGTACTTAGATCACTCTGTCCATACAAAAATCGCTGAATCGACATCGATCAGTTCTCCTGTTATATTCATTACCTAAAATTATGAAGTTTGATGGTATGCAGTGTAAGATCAATAGAGTTTTTTCTTCATCTGCCTGTTATTTCTAATTCCCAACAATTCTTCAAATATTGGAGACATACTTCATATGGTTATTGCAAGATTGAATTCTCCTCTGAATAATTAATATACCGACAACGCTTCTTTTTCGAAGGTGAATTTAGAGTTTGCAGTTAGTTCCTTATTATTTCGGGCCTTTAATGCTATGTTAATATTCTTTTCAATTGCATGTTTTGTTAAGTACACTGTTTGATGGTGTACAGAGCATGGATGTGTTTCTCTTCACATCGTTACTTTTGCTATATAGCATTGAATGGTTTACTTCACACAGCAGTGACTTCTTAAGTTCGTTTATGGTCTTCTCTGTAGGTTACCCTTCTGTCAGTGATGATAAATGTTGCAAGAGTATTGTGCACTCTTCATGCGTGATTTGCATTCAAATTTCTTTGATCCTTCGTAGATGACTTTCAGTTGTCACTGAGTAAAAAAATCAGCGCAAGATCTCTCATTTTATGTGTCACAATGTAAATGGACTCTGCTTTCCTTTTCCTGCAGGCCAGCAAATATGGCAGCAGATCAACTTATCCCCGGTCTGCTTTTTTGCCTCAGGACAAAAACCTGGCGATTTCCAGTATGTCGGTGATGGGAGGCTTGTTGCTGCAATAAAACTTGTTTATCGCAGCGGGCTTGTAAGATGTGAAAGGAACACCGCCTATAATAGTCGCTGGGGTTGCTATCACCATAATGGTTACGTTAAGAACCCGCTAAATGTCGTGATAACAGATCGACAAGATAACATACTTTTTCCTCAGGAGAAGTTCATTAAAAATGCCGGCCTTTGGTACTATCTTCCATTCACTGACGCTCTTCATTCCAATGAACTTGTGTTCACCAACTATGAGAGCCCATTTTATCTCCCAAAGAATGCCATTATGAAAATCTGGTACGGAGAAGACTTGAGAAATTGGCGAAACCACGACAACGGTGGAAGGGTCTGTGTGGATGTGTACGGACACCTGCAGTAAATAGCAGAGCCTATTTAACTGACTTCATTAGTGCTTCAAATATCAAACTGTTCATTTAAAAAAAAATTTTAATTTAAACCTACAGTTGAAAATAAATAATTCTACCGTGCGATACAAAGCAACGATTTCAATTTAAATGTAGTCAAAGCATGTGGTCAGAGTAAATAAAATTCATCACAAATCTTGCAACAGACTATCATGAATGAAGTACAGCCGTATGGAGTTGTATGTTATATGAAGATGCTTACACCTCTAAATAAACACTGCGAAGCTATTTGCTATGGGCAAACAAACATGATTTAGAGAGCCACAAATAACACACAAGTACATGAAGGAAAAGTTCGAAATATCACTCAGCACGACCGCTATTTCTGCCTCTTTTATAATAACCTTAAATTTTTACGTTACCGCAGAAAGTTATCTATTTGCGCACTTAACTCCTTTTCCCACCTGGTTAAAATGTCACTTTTTCTGGCCTTTTTTCCTTTATTATGCCCGCTAAACGATTCTTTTTTCGCATTTGCACCCGCAGCGATCAAAGATAACCCAGTTGCTCTTTGGGCTAAGATCAATCAGATTCCTGTGTGTTTCCACGCGCAAGGGCGACGGCCTGGAATGTTTCATTACCTGGGTGAAGGCAAATTAGTTGGTGCAATTAAACTTGTCTTTGTACGAGGCTCTGTACGGTGCGCTAATGATCCTAAATTCAGCAGTCGATGGGGTTGTTACCGTCATCCCGATAACGTCAGGCATCCTCTGAACGTTGTAGTCACGGATGCAGACAACCATGTTATCTACCCCGCCGAGAAATACATCATGAACACAGGCCTGTGGTATTACTTGCCTTTCACAGACGCTAAGAGCTCTAATCAACTGGTGTACACCGACTATGCCAATCCCTTTTACCTCGAAAAGTACGCAACGATTAAGATTTGGTATGGAGAAGATTTAATGAAATATGATAATCATGACAATAGAGGCAGAGTTTGTGTGCATGTGTGGGCGCACCTCATGTAAAGAAAAAAAAAACTTGAATAAATCATTTTTACGACTCTCTTGACTGTGACTCTTGGCAACAATGTACTAATTAATAGTAAGTAAGAATATAGCCAATCAGATTAAAGGATTTGCTGTAAACCACAATGATGTCTGCACAAAATACACTTATTAGTTTCAATAATTACATTACTGTCTTAATTTACTTATTTATGCTTAGCATAAGTTTAGCTAGTGACTGCTTTAATTATTAAATGTAATAAGCCTGTTAAAATATCAGGATTCTCTAAATTAAAGCACTTGTTAAAATGGAACCAAAGATAGTCCAGATAATTTTCTTCACTGCTTACAACCAATATCCTTTATTTAAGGACGCTGCCATAAAAAAGAGAAAAGCACCTCTAAAAATATTTTAATTTCTAATTAATACAAGAATTTTTGTTTCCACACTATAACGGTCAGATGAGCTAAAAAACGTGTAACGTTTCAAAATTTAAAAATATCAACAATAGATTTCACAGTAGCATTCAGCTTTGATTAATTTCTGTCTGTTCTTTCACCATCCATTTCTTGTCCATAAACTTGGTGATTTCAGAATTAACTATTGGATGATCCAGACGGTCTTTCCACAACCTGTCAATCTGAATGGAGACAGATAACTTACAGTCACATTTAAACCACTGTAATGGTCATTATCATTTTGTGGATGTGAAATCAAAAAATCTGGCACAAGATGTGACATTGATTTCACATAACACTGACCCACAAACACATTTTTCCCTCCATACTTGAGACATTCTCTTTCAGTACTTGAAAAACAAGTGTGCAGCAACAAACCAAATAAAAATTCAATACACATGTTAAATTGAAAAGGGTCACCTTGACAATAAGCTTGATATATAAGCTTATCAAACCTCACATTCTAAGACTGTCAACTTGATATGGATTTGGAATTGATATGGTTAATCACTTAATCAATTCTATATGAAATGTCATCATAAATGAGTTAGCAACTAACCAGTGGTTCTGTATTCCATCCAACTTCTTGAGCTGATGTTTGTGGGAATTTGAATTTCTTAACTGGTGTTTCATTGGACTTTTTGATGACCTCAAGGAAATTGTCTAAAGATACAAAAGATAACAGTGTCATGCCACAATTCTATTGTGGTGTGTCTCTAATAGAGATTTCCATTCAAGTTATTTCATGAGGTCCAATTTGACACCCCTACTGGCTCTTGCCTGGATTGTAAGCAAGTTTGAATAGCAAATTCAGTACTTTGCATGCTATGTGCAAAACTGAAATTTAATTGAAAATGTCTAACTTAAAAACTTGTTTTCATAATTCTAAAGATGAAATGGCAAAAGTACTCTCCAAGAGTTTTTACACAGTGACATACAGTGTAGAGGTAATAATAATTGCAAAAACAGCCTGGTACATGTACTCTTCTATTTTCAATAGATATCCATCAGAAACTGAAATATGTTCTACTCAAATAATGCAATGCCTAGCCTTGCAGGTCACTAATTTACTGTACCACACTGGTAAATGTGTTCATGTTACCACCTATTCAGCTCTAATTTTCTCACCATCGCAAATTCTAAAGGAGAAGTTTTGTGATTGATAATGTTACTGTTTCCAAGTCATTTAATTGTTTGAATTTGTTCCGGTATGGTTGCATTTATCAAATTGTTGAAATTATGGTAAGTTTCTTAACAGTGTGGCAGGAAATTCAAAGTGGAATTGAAGTACCCTGGATCTTGATAAAGCATCTACAGTGGGCTTAATAATTATTTCAAATCCAGATATGAAGCTACTTTAACATTCATCATGCTGCATACAATGATAGGTCTTCTCCAGCACAGTGACAACCATGCTAAGGTCAGTGGGTTTATGGTCAATTCACCTCCATAACCAACTCACCTTTACCAAGTCAAATCTCTACTGGTGGCCATTTGACTCAGGTGTTATGTTTAGCCTCCCTTTTGAAACTTACATTAAATGGAAGCTAACTTTTAGTATTGTATTGCCAACATAGAAACCCAAACAAATACAGCCAAAGGAACTCACACTTAATGTGTAGTGTCTCAATTATGCATTCTCTACTTTTGGGCTCTGGAGGACACAGTTTTCATAAGACAGTCAAGTGACTTAATCTAAAGGAAGTATTTTGAACAGAAGTGAATTCAAAGCCCATTTCAGGTAATTTGAGTGCTTGTTAACTCATCAGTGGTTGCCACACAATTGGGGAAATTTGAACAGCCAAACTGTTTGCTTTTCATTTCAGAATATACCTTTTGGGGTGTGCTCCTTCATCAAAAAGTTTTAAACAGTGTTTAGAAATCCAAAGAAAGAGCTATTAACAATAATAGTTTGTTCTGCAATGATGTTGATTGAATAATTTAACAAATGTTGCTGTTGTACGGAAAATCACTGACATACTACTTATCATATTAATTAATTCAAAGTTTGATCTGTTTGCACTTCAGGGACTCCTAGAGGATGCCAAGTTGATTTCTGAAAAATTGTACCGTGTTTCCACACACTTTTTACATCCAAACCAAAAAGAATGAATAAACTTCACGATCTAAGCTGTCATATAATACAACTTTCATTAGATCTTATTACAAAATTCAGGTTAAAGGTTATGTCTACATTCTTGTGCTTAAAACAAAGAAAAGACTCCAAGTCAGGTTTCATACGACGGGCTACACATAACGTCAAAGCAAAATCGCCAAAGGTGGCGATTTGACTCTTAGTGGTGGCGAATTGACCGGACACCGGTCAGTGTTTTCCTGCTGCTCTTGTGGATGTGCATGTAAACAAAGCTTCTCACTTACCATCTTCTTCTCCATCCGCAGAATCGTGCACAGAATTCGGTTTTCCAGTGAGCGTATACACTTAATAAAAACAACAAGTTTTTTAAGTTCAAAAAAAGTATTATCGTAAACTAGCGATCCAAGGAAAACAAATTACTAGATCGTACTCTTGATCAAATTGCTTACTTTTCTTAAACGGGTTAATGCTGTAGTTGGTGTATAATTTGTGATTTTTTTGCTCCTTCTTGATTGTTTCGCACAAAATAGCATTTTGATGAACATAATTCACTTCAGCATTTCCTTTAGATCCCATTGTTCTGCTTGTGTTTGCCGTTTACTTCTCTCAGTCTTGACCCATAAACTCCACTAAATCCAAAATGGCGTAACATTAGTTTTTTTATGTTATCCGTAGTCATGGAAACTTAACTAGTTTTCAGCTTTACGCGGTGAGTGTTCACCGAGTACGACATACTCGTTGAAGAACTAAGGCCAAAAAACTCTGATCAGATGAGCTTTTTTCTCGGTATTGTCTTGCCACTGGCCTAAAAATGTCACGTCCATAGACGAAAACTAGTTGCAGGGTCGTCTTCGCCCCAGCATTTTCTGACATCGTCACCTGCTGAAATCATTGTCAGCCGAAGGTCAATTGGTTTTAGAATTCCTGTGATTGGTGAAGTATTGTAGCTTGTGTACAGCTCTCCTGTACGTTTAGTGAGCCAATGGCCATCAGAAATTAATTTCCTCAATCTCCAGAAGTTTCCACGCAGCTTACTTTCACAATTTAGCTTTGATCTTATTGATCTTATATGCTTGTTTCAGTATACCTTTTTAATCGTAGTAGTGTCGGTCTTTCAATCAGAAAATCACAATGCAATGATTGAGTTATTGTTTTCCTTAAACCTCAAAGTTATTGAAATGCTTTTTTTGCCGCACATCTGTCCCAAGAGGCCACTTAAAAGTCATCAATAAGGACCATCTAGTTGTTAAGATCCTCCTTGAAAATGATATAATGGGTGTCCAGAGTTTTATTCGTATCACGTACGCCATTGTAGTTAGTACAGAGGACGCTGTTCTAATCTGCTGTAATATCCTTCTCTATGTAATTAGAAAGAATACACGATTTTGGTCGGGGGCAAAAACCAAACTTACCGTCTAACAGTAGCGTCAAATAGTATTTTTTCTCAGTCATCGAAAAGTTCTCTCGGGCAGCTCGAAAAAGTAAACAAAGGACAATTTTCCGCTCAATTGTTTGATTATCAAGTTTACATCGAGTCATAGGATAGTGACGAAACTTAATGCTGAGAATGCCTAGTGCAGCGACCGAACCCAAGTCCACTTCATGGAAAGTTACAGCGCAAGTTGCTGAAGAGATGATCAAGTTAAAAAAGGGTGACCCTCGCGTTGCATTAGCACTTCACAATGCAAAGATACATCGGCCAGCATTGTATATTTCTTCAAAAGCCTCTTTGACAAGTAGCGTAGATGACACAACAAAAATGGCCGTTCCAGGGCATAATCAGAATTCTAAGATCACGGCAGTGCGATCCAAAAAAGTAAATAAGATTGACTGCAAGGGAGAAATGTCTTCTGAGGCGAAAAGAACTCGGAGGTCGGGAAACAAATCCCAAGAATTTTCTCGCGAACAAATTTCAAGTCCTTCTGGATCAAAATTCGATTTGAATTCGTACCAATTAAAGAAGAATACTGCCACCGTTTACAACGAATGGGAACCTGACCTATCCCTGGAGAAAAGTGAGAATCAAAGCAGTAAACTGGTGACACTATCAACTGTCAATGTACAACCTTGGGAAAATGATTCAGTTCAAACAGCTAACGATAATAGGCAGCCATCCGGCCTAAAGGGTTTTATGGACAAGCAAGTCAGAAGAGCTGAAATATCTCGTCTTGTTTCACTTCAACAGGATAGTAACGTGCGTAGATTGCATGAACAAATTAAAACATGTGCTGATGATGACTGTACAGTTCAACATACAAATAAAAAAATACTCAGACCAGGAAGAAAAACATGTTCTTTCGCACTTCGTGAAGGTGAGCTCGATATCAGCAGACTTTCTGAAATACTTCTGGTAAGTTCAAAAATGCCATGGAATCCCTGTTCACCGTGCCGCCTTCCTCATGTAAAAAAAAAGTATAACACCAATGGGATAAAACGCGTGGATTTTCCAGTCTTCGAGAGAGGTCCCGTGATGTCCCTGATGAAAACGGATTGTCATCTTTGTACAGAATGTAGAAAAAAATCTCAAAATCTACCAAGAGTATATGGCGCTGACAACGAATCGGAAAACCTGACCCGTCTTAAATACAGGTTGAAACTAAAAGAACGCCAGCTCTTGGAAAAGAAAGACGGTTTTGATAAACCTTCTGGACAAAGTGTGAAACAAGATAATTCGCAAAAAAGTTCTTCTCTTGGGCAAAAAGAAGATCTTAGTGCTGGCCAGCTTGAAGAATTAGTATTACCAAAGTTGTACCTTTCACATCACTCTTCTGCCACCGCAGTTTGTGAACAGAAACTGAGAACACCGAGGACACTGTCAAAGATTACTGATACTACCCTGAGTTTCGAAGAGCGTTCAAACCAACGGTACCACAAGGTGGTTAAAATTGAGAGAATCTCTGCTCAGGAACAACCTTTGAAAATTTTAACTAAAAAAGGATCATCCTCAACAAAGTTGTGTGATTTTTCAGGTGCTCTACCCCCCCTGACGAGTGATTTGCGTGTCTTGGCCTCTCCACTTCGTGGTTTTACTCCTCAGTATTGCAGTGACTTAGCAAAAAGTCCAATACTTTGGAGAGAGAATTCTGAACTGAAAAAAGCAAAACAGGAGGAAAATACCAAAACTGAGACGTAAGAGTTTACAGGCGAAAAAAAAGGAACACATGGATAATTAATTTTTCATAAATTTCCAATAAGACGGCAAGGACATTCAACATAGACAAGAGATTAATGTTATAATCTCTTTATCTAGTTAATGAGTAATTATAGGTTGTTGTGCTTTTCAATAATAAATAAAACTTCGATTTCAGGACTCGTTTTAATGCTTTTATCAGTCCTTGTTACAAAACAACAACAACAACAACAACAAATTCAAATCACAATTAAAAATTCAGGGTCAAAATCCTGCGAAGACCTCAAATCGAGGGAAATTTTCAAATTCTCTTATTTGTTTTTGATAAAACTGACAAACGGCAGACAGTCACATTTTTGCATGACATGAGAAAGAAACAGTTCACATGATTATGAAAGATCCAGTAAGAAATACTGAGATAGGTAGAGAGGAAGGAATATGTGAGTTCAGACATCGAAAAGAATTTAAGGATTGAAATTATGTAAAGACAACTTACTCTCTTATTAAACATTCAAAACGTCTTTTTGTTCATGGGAGGGGTTTGTGCGTTAACCGACTTCTTCTTTACAAACTCTCTCAGCCCCCCCTCCTTAGGTAGTAGCATTGAAGGCCTGGTAGCTAAGAAGGAGAAAATAAATCAACATGGTGAACGTATTGAGCAAGATCGCAGTGCGGTTGCCGGCTTTAAACTCTAAAGCTTCTGGAATTGCTGTTGCAGCAGTTGCTGCTGGAATTATTGTGCTGTGGAAGAAAAAGCTTGACGAGCTGAGTAGTAAAAGGTTGGATTATAGAATTGTACGAACAATTCAATCATGCGAACCATGGCTTGTTCGCCACTGAGATTTTTTGCACTTTGCACCGTCATGCAAACTGCACAGCGCGCTGGTGATTTGAAAGATAGCGATGCCTTTGACTAGAATTAACTGGCTGAAGCTCGGGTAGCGGAGTACGTGTATGTTATTTGTTTTTTATCTTTTGTAACTTACCTAAAAAGTATTCCTTCAATTTGCAGAAAAGATGTGACTGGTGATTTGCATATTACTTTAGAGGAGGTAAATATTATACACTTAATTCATGTTCCCGAGGGAAACAGTTAGTTTTGTTTTCCAGATGTTTCCCTCGACTTCGTCTCGGGAAACATCAGGACTCGAGGAAAAAAAAACTAACTAGTTTCCCGAGGGATCATACATCAAGTGCTTTGTTACATAATTATTTAGACTTTCCCTTAAACAATCATGGGGAAAAAACATGCTCTTGTATTCGGCGTGGTTGTGGGCAACAACTGTGCAATTGTATCCTGGTTGGGATAAGAATCAACCAATCACAGTGCTCATTTTTGTTGAGTGAAAGTCTTGGTATATAATGATCATTAGTGTTTTGATTTCCCTGCTAAGTAATTTGAGGCATTGATTAATTTTTTAATATATTTAGGAAACTCGTGTAAGTTTACCCTTTTCTAATATTTTCAGGAAAAAAACAGAAAGAAAGGAAAGGCTGCTGTTGATGGTGTGTTTTTTAGGTAATAAAAGTTTATTTACTGTTCACCCTGCAAGAATTTAGAATGAAGAGATGCTCATGATCAATAACACATTACCAATAACACATTGTTTGTTTCCTGTTAAATTCTTTTGTGCTTAATGCCATAAGTGCTACATGCACAAGATCTTGCTTATGCTACATTAAAAGTCAGTCATGTGCATTAATTGGGTAAAAAACATCACATGTGATTAGTGTTGATTTTAATTTTATGTTACCTCTTTTAAAAGATGCTGATTTTTTCACTTTTTTGGAAAATAGGTTATTTTTTTGCCCACTGATAATGTTAGCCACTCTTCAAACTGGTTATCAAAATGTGATGTTATTCTCTACTCATTACGCAGGCAACTGCTCAAGATTTTAAAAATTATCATCCCTGGATGGCTTTCACCAGAGGTATTTAACACACATTAAGCTTTTTAAGATGTTTGAAGTATTGTATACTGATGTTTTCTGTTTTATTTGGTATGATGGCTTAAATACTGAATTCAACCAATTATGTGGGTTATAATCTATTGTCATTTTAATATCTTCCTGTTGCAACATTTGTTTTGGTCATTAAAGGAAGGAGAGAGTGAGTGGGCTGGGAATTTTTAACTTCCCAATCAAGAAAACTTGGTTTAAAAGTTTTTGTTTTTCAAAATAGAAATACAGTTGTAATCATTAAAACTTTGTAGTAGTCAGTCCTCAAGTAATATTATTCATTACATCTTTAGAGTGGTTACCTGTTACTTGTTGCTGTATCTCTAATAGCTCGGACATACTGTGATGTATGGATGATAAACAATGGGACATCGATTGAGAGGTATGTGTTCATATTGTTTAATGTTTGATTCTACTAATCATTGTACTTTGTATTTCAAATATCATCTCAAGTTTGTATTACTTTCATATGATATGTGGAATGCTGCAATTTGTCTGCACACTTCACCATAAGCTGTATAACATTACACATCACTATGTGCCATATGACATCACACAACACCATGTGCCATATGACATCACACATCACCATGTGCCATATGACATCACACATCACTATGTGCCATATGACATCACACAACACCATGTGCCATATGACATCACACATCACCATGTGCTGTATGACATCACACATCACACTTTCATATGACATCACACATCACCATGTGCAATATGACATCACACATCAAACTGTACCAGATGACATCACACATCACACTGTGCTTTATGACATCACACATCACTGTGCTATATGACATCACACATCACTGTGCTGTATGACATCACACATCACTCTGTCCAAAGTCATGTATCTGGTTTTAGTTGCTACATGTCGTGGACAATTTCATGAGTTCAGACTTAATAAACTGTTTTATATTTTGTGATATATCAGGTCCATTATTGGCGGTGATTTTCGAGGATTTAAAGACAATCTCCTTGCACTGGTTTATGCAATGCCATTTGTAAGTAAATTCAAATACTTTTTTCAAAGTTTTAATCTTTAAAAGCAAGGAAAAGCCTACATGAGTTGGATTTTTATGGGTGAGATCTTGGATATCGTCACCTGATATAAAACACAATTACACCCTACGTTAAAGTTGATACATTATTGTGTTTTTATTCTTCACAGATATCTGTGATAAACCAACTCTTAAAGGTGCGTGTAAAATTTTGATATTGACTGAATCTTAGAAACTTGTATTGTATGGAACCAAAGGTTTTTGCCTTTCTGAAAGCAGATTTTGTTTTTTTTACTTTGTATTAATTTTATACTCAAAAGTTTCTTCAGTTTCAATTGCAAAAGTCTTTGGAGTAATTTGTGCTCTGTTTTTCCTCATTCAGAGGTTTTATTAGGTTTTAGGCTAACATTACTTCTTGTTGTTTTTCATTACCTTTTCAAGTTTGGATTAAGTGAGCTCAAGTTGAGGTTCCGCTCCAGATTAACTCTTCATCTCTATGAGAAGTATCTAAGGTATTTAAATTGTGAACTCTGTTGTGGAACTGTTTTACTCTATTTTGTCAAGTAAAATGCTCTGGGAAAAAAGACCACAGGATAAAGTTTGATCTCACTGAAACTTTCTTTTCAGCTCTTTTACTTTCTATAAAATGAGCAACTTGGATAACCGCATTGCAAATGCAGATCAACTTCTAACTCAGGTGGGTGTGTAAAAAAGATAACATGTGATTTGAGGAAGCACAGCACAGGTCAACTACAATACCTAACAGATACCAAAGGTTTATAAGTGGTTGATGCAAGTTTAGTATCTCTAACTGTTACTGGATTGTCTCTTTTATGGTCAGAAGAATGTAAAGGGATCAATGGTTTGATAGTTTGTCACCTACTTTTCCAGTTGGTGTATGTTTTGGTCTTAAGCTTCATATTTACTTGCTTGTCTTCCTATGAATGTGGTTTCAAGATTATCACTATAATCTGTATTTTCTTTTTTCATAAAGGATGTGGATAAATTCTGCAACAGTCTTGCTGAACTGTACTCCAATATAAGTAAAGTGAGTAGTACAAAATACAGAGTTTTGCACTGGGTTTCCCTATGCTTAGGGTCAGGATTCAGGATATATTGTACCAAAATATTATTTGTTCCTGGTAGTACATTTATTTACATTTATTTAGTTCTGATTGGCAGCTGTATTTACCTGCTTTTTTATCCTTTTTGATTACAACTATTTACAGCCTATACTTGACATAGCCATATATGTACAAAGATTGGCTGGAGCTATTGGTATACAGGTTAGTATAACAGAACCATCTGCGAAACTTAATCAAATAGATTTATATGTCATTTTATTCAGTGAATTTGTATTTTTCTAATGTTTACTTTATCTTATAATTGTCACCGTTTTAGGGGCCAGCCATAATGTTGGGATACTTAGCTTTCTCTGGACTTCTGTTAACAAGGTACTGCTAGGATGTACATAACTATACATTCTTCTCTTTTAAATGAACACTCTTTAATGGTCAGTGTGAAATTTTCCAATAGTTAACTATGACTCTGTGTCAAATTTATTTTTTAGTAGACATTATTCAATGTATCACACATTAAGGAACAGCAACTTTGCTGTAGACAATACTTTGTGACTTTGACATGGCATAAGACTTGAATAGAATAAGACTTGAACAGAATAATTTAGTTGAACATTCCATGTGATGATCCAGGCATGGGTAGTTGTGAAAAGGACACAGGTAGTTGCCATTTCATTAACCTGAACCAAAGCTATCACCAGAGTGGATTGTGGAGTTTAAAACCTGACCAATAACGGTTTGCTGACTTAAAAACATATTGGATGTTATGACTTTATAGAAATGGGTATATTAATTTAATAATTTGGATTGTTAAATGATTGTCATACCTATTTATGAAAATAAAAAATCTAGATTGCGACGGCCAGTTGGTAGAATGACAGCTGATGAACAACATCTTGAAGGAGAGTTCAGATATGTGAACTCAAGGCTCATAACTAACAGGTAAATAAGATTGTTGTACATAATTGGGAGACTAAAAATAAAATGACTTTTATGCCTTTTCTTTAATTAGGAGATGCTTACTCAGTCTACAAATGAATATAAATTTTATTTGAGAATGATAATGGAGAAAAGTGTTTTTTATAATTTTTGTGGTACCTCAGCATGTTACAGAGAAGGATGTGTAACCCTCTAGAGTAACTTTACATGACAAACTGCAAAAATTGCAGAATACAGCTGCTTGCATTCTGACATTTCAAGGACTAAGGGCAATACAAGCTACACCCTGAGGGACTCCGAGAACAAACTTAATGTTCAAATGACACCACATTGTGGAATAGCTGTCGATCCTTACAAGACTAGGTGTGTGGTATCCCTGGGGTTGTTGAAATGAGAAATCAACAAAACTCTCTAAAGAATAGCTGATGAATTGCTTGTGATTAAATAAAGTTTAAAAAAAGATCCTGATTCAGCCACAGAGTGAGTAAGCTGTTTGGCTCAAGCAGGGTGACATATGGAAAGAGATCTGTATATTCCATTAGGTAATATTACATAACATATGGTTAGGTTAACTGTTTATTTTGGACTTTAAACTTTAGTGAGGAAATTGCTTTCTACCAAGGAGGGAGAAGGGAAAAACTTACAATTGAAAGTACATTTCACAGGCTGGTAAGAAACTTAGATAATTGTAATAATAGTGAATGATTACACAGAATTCTTTATTTACATATTGTTATATTTTTATTTTTTCGTTTTTTGTACCACCATTTCTATCACTTGATAATCAAGGCCTTGTTACTTAGTTATTTGTCTCCACTTGCTGCAACAGGAATGACAAGCACCACTGGATGAGAGAGGATATAAAAATCTGGCCTTTAGGCTTATTACATTGTTTTGTTTTTGTAGGTTGATCATCTGAGAAATTTCATTCAGTTTAGATCTAGTATGGGAGTTATTGACAATATTATAGCAAAATGTAAGTATTTTACTGGTACAAGAATTGACTTTACCTTTAGATTCAAACACATTTACATGTAGTTCTTTTTCTTTTCATCTATGAGTAGGAGTCAGTTGGTCTGGTTGTGGACTTTGTGTTTTTTGTTTTACTAAAAGCTCTTATTTTCAAGAGAATCAATTCTCTACTGTCTTCCACTTGGCTAAAAGGAAATGGGAAAGATTCACTACAAAGGATAGTTCCTTTCTGATTGTGTTTTTTTTCGGTGTGCTGATTGTAGATATAGCTACTGCTGTAGGATTCTCAGTTGTCAGTCGTCCTTTTCTGAGTGCATCAAGTACAAGGCACATCAACAGCACACACAGTGAGAGAATGGAGGTTTGTTCAATGCATTTCTAAGGATAGCTAGACACAGACAGACGAGCAGTGAGACAGGAATAGGGTTAGGGGAACCTGTTGTAACCTGTGGAGAAACAGGCAGAAAGACGGGCATACACAGATAGAGGGAAAATATCAGACAGACGAACTGTGAGATTGACAAGGACGGATAGACAGACAACATATACAGACCAAAGAACTGAGAGACAGACCAAAAGACAGACTGACAGAAAGACTGACAGAAAGACAGACAGACAGACACAGACTGACAGACAGATAGACAGACAGACCTGACAAACAGCATTAGTGTTCTTGTTAGCTAAATTTCTTTTTCAAATTGTGTCAGGACTATTACAGAAGTGGCAGGATGTTAGTGAAAATGGCAGAAGCTATTGGTCGCCTAGTGTTGGCGGGCAGAGAGTTAACTCGACTGGCAGGGTAAGTTGGTGAACAGAAGCACTAATAAACTCACATACTACTTGCTTGGCTCTAGAATTCTCTTCCTTAAATTTGTGAAACGTGTTTGAAAAAAGGAGTAATTTAACCAAAACTTGGGTATCGATGTGTTTTTCTTCAGGTATACTTCCAGAGTTTCAGAGCTAATGACAGTGTTAAAAGACCTTAGTAAAGGAAAATATCAACGAACTATGATCAATCAGTCGAGTCCACAGGCAGAGGGAGACAGTGAACGGCAAGGTACAAACCACTGGAGCAATATGAATATAATACAAATGTAACATGATTATAACATAAACCATGTTGGGTGATATAAATGCAAGACCTGCGCATGTGAGTTTACGTGAGGCGAGTTTAAGGGCGTCCTTGTTTTTTTATGGTTGCGTTTTCTGCGGTTTCTACTCACGACGCGTACATAAGCCGATGGGAAAGTTTCGTACTGGAATCAGTGGGACTGGAGCATATGGTAGTGTTGTCCTTGTGCCAATGCGCTTGTCACGAAACATAAGCTCAAGAATATATAGGGCACAAAACCAGAAAAAACTTTGACATGCTGTCATTTACCTTGTTCAGTGCGTGTAGTTAGCTGTTACTTTATGGTGAGGAAAAATTAAGGGGATGGGGGAGAGCCATACTGATATCGCTGCGTGGTATGTAAATTGAAAACTGGGAGAGAACAGTGGGAGAGCAGGTGCAAGTAACAATTTCTACAGGCTCTAGAGAATGATTATCTTATGTTAAGTGCATGGTACAGTTCACAATTTAAGAGGCCGCCATAGGGTGTGGGTTTCATTTAAGTCAAAAACTGACAGAGTGAAGCAGTTGTTGTTGATCTAAGGAAACGTTAATCAGTGCGTCGTCATCGTCATCATCATAGTATAGTGTATTGTAATTAGTGTTGCTGTCGTTCTTGTTGTTCTTACCTCACCGTCAAGCTCACTTAAATTTGTTGATAGTTCCAATTTCGACAGATGGATTCACTGTTTCCCTTTTTCTTATTAGATAAGATTCCTAGGAGCTCTTTGGTTCCAAACCAAGGCGAAATAGTTGAAACAGATCATCTAATCAGGTTAGTTCTGTTACACTTTACAGCTTTAAAATCATGTTGTCCGTTTGAATTTATTCTGTATGAAACTTGTCATTTAACATGATTGAAGCGAAAAGATGCAATTTTTTTGTTACAGCACTGCACGTCTGCTGTGAATCAGCTTTATCAGATTAGTTTTGTTATAATTTTTAGTCAACGTTAAATGGTCTCGTTTTTCGTGGCTATGGGGGTTAATTGTTGCACAACGAAGTTATCAAAATAACAAGAACAAATATTTATTACCACTAATTACTCAATGAAAACAACAAAAAAACACACGAAAATGGTGCTGTAGGGAACTGACTGTGTATGTGACTCGACAAGTGAAACAGTCTTTTCTTTCTTTTTAACAGATTTGAACATGTTCCTCTGGTTACACCCAATGGAGACATTCTAGTGAACGACCTTTCGTTTGAGGTGAGAACCGTCCCACTACGGTAAATATGTAATACTTGGCTTGGATGTAATAATTTACTGTCTGCACTCACTGATCGGAATCAATACGGTGATTTAACTAATCATGATACGGTAAACACCGTGCTTCTTTCGCTCCGTGGACCATGACGTTTCTCTCCCAGCGATTGGCTGTGGTTCTTCTTTGAGGTTTTAGTGGTTTTTTAGTGATTTGTATTTGTAGTGATACTTATGGGTGACCGTAAAACAATTTCTCGTTAAGGTTTTGTTATGATGGCATATCTTGTACATGTAGCTGCTCTATTTTTTCTCCACAGGTACGTTCGGGCATGAATGTGTTAGTTTGCGGGCCAAATGGATGTGGAAAAAGTTCTTTGTTCCGGATTTTGGGAGAGGTAACATTGTTAGAATACTGGATGTTAGTTAATAAACAAATGTTAATCAAGTAAACTTCTTTAGAGAAATCAACGATATTCATAACAATTTTATTTTAAAGCCCTTCTTTTCTGGCAAATTAATATCAAGCTCTTTTTTAAGTAGCTCGGTATTGTTTACACTTGGTTTAATATTGAGGTGTTTTGTTTGACAGCTATGGCCGCTGTTTGGTGGTAAATTAGTAAAACCAAACAAGAGCAAGCTTTTCTATGTACCGCAGGTTAGTGATGATTAAACAGGGACAAGTTTTAAGATTTTTCGGGGTACAAAAGATATTCTATTTTCTACACTATTCCGATAATTTGTTATTATCGTTATTATTATTATTATTATTATTATTATTATTATTATTGTTATTATTATGATTATCATTATTACTGAGTAAGTTGTTAATCAGGCAACTTAAAAAAATGACTTTGTCTTCGGCGTGCGCACAATCGTTCTCAAATGTTATTTTTCAGCGTCCTTACATGGCCCTCGGAACGTTGCGGGATCAGGTGATTTATCCCGACACTGTGGAAGATTTGCACCGGAAAGGACTTACGGACCGAGACCTTGAGGATTATCTAAAACAGGTTCATGATTTATTAACTCATCAAGTTCCTATTGAAAGACGCAAATTTTCATTTTCATTCACAATAATAACCGCACATGTCACGGATCGAATGTTTAAGTTGGAAAATCAGATATCTCTCATATTGTTAGTTAACCTTCACTATTCCCACATTAATTCGTGAACTTGTGTTTCAGGTTCATCTTGGTAATATTCTTGAGCGGGAAGGAAGCTGGGACTCGATCCAGGTAAACTAATGAAGTGTCAATGACGTTTGAAGTATATCTTGTCAATCATGTTCAATGTTCATGCGGTAAATGACGAAGAAGAGTGTCTTAATCTTTTTAATGTAGAAATATGTATGTTTTTTTATTTCCCTAGGATTGGATGGATGTTCTGAGTGGTGGTGAGAAACAAAGGATGGCAGTAAGTATGCATTGAAACCTTGACTGCAACCATGTCACACAACATTTATCAGCTTGTGGCGACAGTGTTGCGTGACTTGCTCTTGGTCACTTTCCTGGTTACCTTTGTGGTACTGAACGACAACGTGAGCTATTGTTTTGATTTATTTTTTGAAGAGTGGTGTCTATGATATTAACGTCATCTTTTCTATACCGTTATTAGATGGCTCGTCTTTTCTACCACAAACCTCAGTTTGCTATTCTGGATGAATGCACTAGTGCAGTTAGTGTGGATGTGGAGGGTTTCATGTATACACGCTGTAGAGAGGTATACCTTCAATCTAGTTAAAATTCTGGTCAGCAGACACCTTCCGCCAATGAGAAATTTTAAAATACAGGCTTTTTTGTCTTAGTCTCTAAAGTGGGCCCCTTAGACCGACGGAAGGTTCTACTATATTTTTGAAAATTGCACGTTCCCTCACCTCGGCCTTGCTTGAAGTGTTTCAACGGTCTTTTATCGAACCGTGAAACTGAACAACGCGTTGCCTCTTGCTGGGTTGAATGAGGAATTAAATTACACCTTTTTTTCTGCTGCCTAAACTCGGTAGTGTTTAGTTGCCCTTTCCGATTCCTTTACACTGAATGATATTCTTGTCTTCTCCAGATGCATGTAGAATGTTGTTGATGGTATTCGTGCCAGGAAGTGTTAAGGAATACTTCCTTTGATCATCAAGCCATAAATACATTGTTTTCTGCATGTAGGTTGGCATCACATTATTTACTGTCTCACATCGCAAGTCGTTGTGGAAATACCACGAGGTTTGTAATTATTTTGTTTTATATGCTCCTTTGTTTATGAATTTTTAATCAGCATTGCTGCAATAGATTGCCTTCCGTCAGTAGTACCTTGTTCAAGGGCGGTTTCTTTTTGATACGTATACATCAATCTCACAACGCCCATTCCCCCACCTCCCCTTCCCCTCAACAAGATAAAAAGTGTTGGAAGCAGCAGAGTTCCGGATTTGTTCGAGTTACTTTCTCTATTGCTGAAACTGGTAAAACCTAAATGAGCTTTAAAAGGCAAAAGCTGACCAATCGGTTTAAAGAAGTTAGACATTAAAATTTGACAGACGTGAGTTACTCTCAGTCACTGTCTCCGCCGTCAGTCCGTAGCAGGACTCGATTCACCCTTCTCTGTTGCTATTAAGACAAGATAAGGGGGACAATGCTTGGAGAATAGGCACTTCTCTTTCTAACCTGGTATTTTTTCTCTCTGTCTTTATCTTCAGTATGTTTTGTACATGGACGGCAGAGGCACGTATGAGTACAAACCGATTGATTCTGCTACTACAGAGTTTGGTTCCTAAACATCCTACTCTGACCTCGATACACGCCACCCGTCGATCAACAACTACAACTGCACACTCAGAACACCGATCGATCCTTCAACTTCTATCCCACTTAGCACTCGCCAATCAATTAAACTGCCCTACCCAACAAGTCTCACCTGCCTCTTTTTTTCAGGCTTTGTCTTATTCTGTATTGTATGGTGGTTTTTTTGGCCTAGAACTTTTATTTCGTTGCAAACTTGGGTTATTATTTCAAGGAGATCATGACGTAACAATAACGCAAATATTCAGACTCTGGTGAAACTACCCTAACCAAGAAAAATACACGTCACATGTCGTGTTTGTCTGCGAGTAGGCATGGGACCATATAGGTCAGCCTGAACAGGCAGGGAAACATTCTGCCTCGCATATCTGATAACTAAACAAGAGGTGTCAAATGAATCGAGTTTTTTAAAACAATAACCA